GGCAGGGCTAGATGGGATGGGATGTTGGGAAAAATGCATGTGTTTTATGGTTGGCTTTTCGCAAATACTGAAATGAATGTTATATGTGTTTTGTTAGAAAGTAATGCTGTATTGATTCTCTTAAGTAGTGTGTTAAATATAGTTTTAGGTTATAAAAAATGTTAAAATAGAAACTATGCTATGTAGGATACTTTCTTTAAAGGAAGGACTCGCAGAGAGATAGCAGCCACAGGACACCTAAATCTTTCAGAGAAAAAGAATTTATTGCCCTCTTATCACAAGAAACAAACTTCTTCCCACCTCGAAGGCACTGTTAGGACTCAGAGGAAGAAATTGACAATGACTAGACAGAATTCTGTATTTGAATGGATTTTATGCATCATGTATGAAGTGTATGAATATGCAACAGGCTATTGCTTTTAAGGGGTAATCCTTTGTTAACAGGTGACCTTTTTCGGGCTCATGCTGCCCAAAAAAAGGTACCCGGACGTCCGTAACTCTTTGTCTCTATTGCCTCATATTGTCCTAATTCAAATAGTCCAAATCATTATTACTCTAATTGTATTACTATTTTTATAACCATTTTATTACTAATAAACTTTTAAAATTTAAAAAACAAGCGATTTGCATTTTTCACAGATGTGCAAGCGACAGCAGCGGCTCTGTGCCAACAGCTGGGCTTGGACTTTGATACTCAAAGTCTGGTCTCTCTTTGTAAAGGATGCGTGAGAAAAAGGAGCTCTTACTTCATGTAAGGGTGGGTTTGACTCTCGTGATAAGTCCAAGCCGAGGGACAGATAGGTGCTGACCTGGCTGTACTGTTGCATGGCTAAGCAGCGCTCAGCTGCCAGCACGGGAAACACAGCAGTTGGTTCAGTCAAACCAGCAAAGTTTGTCACCAGTGATGTGGATAGTGATACGTGCAAATTGAACACGTGTGGGAAGGCTGTGGCCATGCTGGGGAACACAATTAGATTTTTGAAATGATCTTGGCAAACTGGATAAATGTTCAGGAAAATCAGGATGCTCCTGAAGCACAAATGCAGGGGCAGAGCCAGTGGATGCAGAAATGCAGGGTGGGTAACAGCCAGGTGGGGAGCAGCTCCGTGAAGAAGAATCAGGAGATTACAGTGAACCTCAGCCTAAGCATGATTCACCAGGATCATAGCTGTCTGAGCAGGAATAAACAGAAGTATAGCCTGTTTGAGCCCTCTGAAAGTTCTTAGTGAAGACAAAGGAATGAGAACTACAGCAGCTGAAACCTCAGCAAGATGGTTAGATGCCAGAATCATGATGCCCCAGAAGAGACAGCATGGAAAATTTTAGAATTCCCCTTGTTGCAGATTTGTAAGACCAAATTAAAGAGAATTTTGTTAAAACTGTCTGTGCGTTGGCAGTGATGATACTTGAGATGCTCTCCAGGGATTGAAATGTAGAAGCTCTGATCCAAAATTCAGACATATCAAGCAGGGTCTTATGCCAGAATTGGTTTTTGCAGTTCTTGTGATCCAATCTGCATTAAAGGGTTGTAGTTTTTCTCCACACTCTTCTTACATTTATTTTTTAACCAACTCACTCTGAACCAAAAAGGATTTTATCGTAAGGAGCAAGTGGTAAATCTGAAGGTGAAAAATGTTACCTGATCCATTGTTCATGACACACTATTTTTCCTTTGGATGGGAGGGGCTCTTTGTCCTTGCAGCAACAGGGTTGTAGTAGTTACTGTAGTGGATCTGTCACAGCTACAGGGGTGGGCAAAGACAAGTTAGGGGAACAGAAGATTATGTTGTATATCCATGTTCTTCTCTTTCTTTAATTTTGAACCCCCAGGTATGCACAAGGAACACTTCACATGGGGGCAGTTATTTAAACATTTTCATACCAAGTTTTAATTTCTGAAAAGAAATTAGTCTAGTTGCCAGCCTTTAAAATCAAATATTAGCCTAAGTTGAACTTTAAACACTCCTTACCCTTTTGTTTTGATGGGATGACCAAATTCATCTTCAGTCTCTAAGCATTCTATATATCCAAGTGCCCATCATATCTTTATTCCATTTAAACATAACTTAGGAATCTCAGCTAGCCAAGAGATGACTTATTAATATTTTTATATATAAGCAGCATATGGCTATCCTCACTAGTCATATCATGCATTAATGTAGATGAAACACCTCTCAAATGCTTTTAATGAGGTTATCTAAGCTTCAGTTTCTCAGGAACTCTTTGAAATAGCCCAGTATGGATTAGTACCTGAGGGAGGCCAGTGAGGTTTGCCAGCCACTAGATAATTGTAGCAGCAAATCAAATAATGCTTTGGGCCATTAGTCATTTGCTTCTGAGCTTCCCTTTGTGTTTGAGAGAAAGCTGAAGCCTTCCTGAGTGGACTCCTAGGGCTTCTTGCAGTAATCACTGTCTTACTGATGATTTCTAGGAAGACAGAGAAGTCATAGCAATTCCTGACTTGGCGGGGATGCCTCCTTCCTCTGTACTTCTGGAAAAGACAGTGTTAAAGCACTTTGTCTCTTGCCTTGTCTGTCTTTCCTAGTTAGATCTTTCTCCTTCTTGCAGTCTTTGCTTCAAATGTTGTCCAGCTTTGGTGGACAACAGCTAAAGGGTTGTCTCACTCCATGCAGTGAGAACAGGTACTGGTTCCTGCTTTTTCTCTGAAAATCACTGTTAATTCCCAGTTTTTACACAGCAAACTCTGCACAGGCTTCAGTTCACAATCTGGGGCATGGATCCCTCTGCCCACAAATTAAACCACTGTCAGCTGTCCCCTTCTCTCTTCACCCTTTGAAGTATTTTTGGGTCCCTAGTGTGCTTTAATCCCTGGGTTTTCAGCTTGGCCTAAATAGTTATTGGCCTGCAGCCTGGGAATAGCATCTTTACTGACAATAAAACAGTCATAGTCTTCCAATTAAGTGCAGGTATAAGATGAGAAGCAGTTCATAGAAGACTGTTGCAGCTTCCCAACCTTGCTCCTCTAAGTCTCACATTGAATTACAACATAGCATTTACACAGGAAAACCCATTCAGGCAGGTTGGACGCAGTTACAATGACTTTGGCCAGGTCACATTCAATATTTGGCAAGTCTTTCCAGACCAATGCTTTGAGCAACCACACAGCAGGTCCATGGGTGGCACAGACTTGTCTGAGGTCAGCTTTATGGCAGAGCAACAATGGAAATCCCCCTGAACAGCAAATCTGATGCACAGCTGCATAAAACCCTAGGAAATGTGGTGTGGGAGCAGTCTTAGAGTCAGAAAGTTTCTGAAAAGAATTATGAAGTCTCCTTGACATTAAGAGCCGTGACATGCAAGGT